TGTTGCAGCAACGACGCATCGCGAGTCGAGTCGAGTCGAGTCGAGTCGAGACTACTCGAGCCGCGATACAAGAAGAGAGGGTGAAAGAGAAAAGAGAAGAGTCATCCTTCTCTCCTTTTCCCTCGCAATCAGGGGTGAGTGACTCACGTTCTGCAGCTTCGACGCCGACAGTCGGGACGCTTACCCTCCAAATATTGATTCGCCGGCTCGGGGAAACGAGCCTGCTAACCCTCCAGAGCAACGGCGTATCTAAATTTTTCAAACGGCGGCGTTCCTTGGCTTCTCGCTCGCCCCCCTGGGTCTTCATCTCTACTCACCTTACAACTTCCAACTCTTCCTTCTCTGCCGAACACACCTCTCTCGATCGCCTATCATTTGCAAATCATTTACGCATCGTTCACGTATGCCGGTCTACTCGCCCCGCGTGTCTACGCGTATCTGCGTGCGTCAAAACACCGTGAAAGTCCATCGAGACTTGCCAGTGTGCCGCAGGTTGGAATCGATTATACTCTAGCGTTGCATTATTCCCTGTGGAACGAGACGTAGAGAGAATACGAGGAGGCGTTCGAAGAAAATAAAAAGCACGACAAAAGGGATAATTGTATGCGCGAATCTCTAGAATTTTCCTTGTCAGACTCTTTCCTTTTCCTTCGATTCGTTCGCTCTATCTAAGGACAGAAGAGCGACGTGAATCGCATTCTCACTAGAGAGACCGGCTTTTCTGTCTTGAGTTGTTGTAAAAGGTTTGAAAGAAGGCACCGCGTGTGACAAGAAACAAAGAAGGAAAAAAAGGAAAGAAAAACACACGATGAGAGAAGGGTTCGAAAGGCAGAAAGGCAGAAAGTGTAATTGTAGACGAGGCTCGTTACACGCCTCGCTGTCGTACTAATTAATAAGACATTTTTCCCGTGAGAAAGCACCGGCAGCCGAGTACCTCCACGCTCGGTGTTTCATATACGGGTAAAAAAATGTAGCGGCGACGTGCATGCCATTCGAAAAGGTCACTCACCGTCCCGCCAAGGTCGGCGCAGTTTTGTCACATCGCGAGTCACACCCAACTTTCTTTGATTCTCTCAATCCTTCCCTGGCACACCTTCTCCCCCGATGAAATCACCCGAAAATCCGACGTGAAACGAATCACGCGAACACACCGTGTGACACCAGATCGCCAAGAACTACGTGCACGCACTTCAGCTGCTCTCGGCAGCGTCGCGACTACTACCAACCACTAACCATACACGCACCGACCGATCTCTTACGTACGAGCGTTAGTAGAGGGCGACTACCTGCGACCGTGTATCTCGACATTGACTTCCAGCAACGATCAAGCGACAAACGTCTCCGCCAGTGATCCGCGTCTCATACGCTCTTTTCTTCCTTCCTTCGAAACTGTCAACTCATCCCCGCGATCGCTGCAAACACAGAAGTTCCTTTTTTTATTAAATTGCTTCCCTGCCAGCCGGATCGAAATCGAAATCGAAATCGAAA